ACAACAGCATGTGACAATATGAGGCTCTTTCATCACACAATGACATATTAGACAAATGAATCTATCAGAAGGTTGCTCTATGAATGTTGGTTCTTCTTCTTTTTCTTCTTCTTTGTCATCTTGAGAGCTTATTGAATGAAATTCAGACTGTACAGCTGAACACTCCCCTCCTTTACCAGCCATTCAACATAACAGGAAGCATCTCACGTGAATCATATGATGATTACAATAACCATTACACTTACAGTTTATGTAGACAATGGTATTATTAGAAAGAATTTTAATAGTATATGTACATCATGTGATAGTCACATGCTATGCTAATATAAACAAAGTGAATAAACTACAACAATAAAGAAACATTATTAATTCAAAGGAAAAGAAATAAATGAAATCACGATTTAACTGGAAACTATAAATATAATCAATAACTACTAATTAACTAATACCTCTAAGTGTTGGTAAGTTACTTATTGTATTCCTTTAGCTTTAAGTTCTTCTTTTACTCTTGACAAATAAGTAGGATCAGGATAACCAAATCTATACAATTAATAATAATTATAACTAAATTGTTGTGACTTACGGATCTCCATGTGTTACAGTTTTATGATGTATATCATTCCATACTACAGAATTACTAGCACCACTCGTGTGTGATGTACCAACTGTAAATATCAATTGAGCATCAAATGCTTTCTTTAGTAATCGCAACACCTCCTGTCCTTCAGGAGTGTTTGGAAGATAAGCTGTACGTCTTGTACCACGATATGGCTGACCTATAACCAATGATTAAATAACAGTAATTGCTACCAAAAATCATGTACTTTTGCTGTTACCTGGATTAGGATGTTCCTTAGTTTGTACACCATGAGGTATATCATAATTAATAACAATAGCACCAACTCCTTCATAACCAGGTAAGGAGGTAGTTTGAAGGACATAATGTGTCATTGTACCACCGGGTGGTTGGTTTCCTTTGACTTTCTTCATTGGTTCCTTGCATGTTGGACAGTATGGAGAATGCTTCCGAGACTCTTTTAAACAGGATTTACAAAAGACCTGATTACAACATTTAGTAGTAATAGGATCTGTTGCTATATCATTACGGCATACAGGACAACCTTTAATGAAAGAAATGATAAATTATTATAATGATGATAAATTTTATTTACCTACATCACCTACAGTAACCTTTCCTTTATCAACCGGAGGAGGTGTAATAGGAGGTGAGCCAGTTGGTGGTGTTGAAAAAGTCTCTTCTTGTGAAGAAGATCTCGTTACTCCTTTATTAGTAAGATCAACAACAACTTGAGATTGTG